ATTAAAAATTACACGTGAATCAAATAAGTTTATATATATACATTTCCAGTAATGATCTATTTTAAATTCTGTACCTGATTGGAAGTGAGTGGACGATCTTCTGATTATAACTTACATGTATGTATACCTTTATGAATATATAAATATATGAATTATAATTAATGCATCTAATTTTCTTTTATTTAACTAATGCTCAAACCTTGCTGTTGAATAATTCGCTAGCATTTGTCGAAATTTCGATCTACAGGATAAAATAGGCGGTTATAATGATTACTGGTGGATGTGTGTGTGTGTGTGTGGGGGGGGGGGGGGTAAGAAGAGTGTATAGGAGGAAACGCCTGTGTCCGGGCAAAGCCTTCTTCCCCACTCAAATTATGAAATTAAAATCATCCAAAATAAATGTAGGATGCGTTACGCCAAGCCTGGAACTTCCGAAGGCTGACCCGTAAAGTCTGTGCAAAAAGAAAAATTTGACAAATAATTTTGTTTATGTTTCTTGTAAAGTTACATATTTCAAGACGACCCCACCCCCCTTACCCACACACGTACAAATAAGAAAACAAAACAAAACATAACATTATAGTAAACGCTTTCCGAATATATATTCCATAAATAGCTGATGGAGGTATTTCCCTGAATATGATGGAGAGTTTAATGATATACTTTTACAAATCCAAATCGTCGCACTAGTTGTTCACTTTCGGGCGAAATTTGTGATGTTGACCTGTACTGAATAAATTTGGAGACAAGAAATTCAAATAATAATGAGAGCTCGGGTCGAGGGTGTACACCAAGGATCATAGTTTTACAGAGATTTCGTTTAGTACCTGAGCCTAAAGATTGATGTGTTACTTTTTCTTGATATTTAGCAGTTTCAAACAATTTATTTCATTTTATCTATACATTATATGTTTTTGAAAATGGAAGTTGGCAGTTTTTTTTCTGGGGTAAACTACTCTGTCCTCATTTATGGTTTCCGTGTTTCGTATCATAGAATTGTTATAATATTATCTAATATTTGAAGCCTTTTATTTACATTCAGGATAATGCATTATCTGAATACATAGTGTCATGAACAGTTTAGGACACTAAAACGATTATTAGGACACTAAAACTATTACGAAAACTGCCACAATATGAAATATAATCATCTGAAAAAAATAATTGAATGTCACTAGATAAGAGAAAACGAAGCCCTGTACATTCCCTTAGTCTATACTTAATAAAAACATGGTAATGCACGGACCTTTTTCTATTATTTTCATTTTCTCTTATCTTGAGACAGTCAGTTCTTTTTTATGAATTGTCAGATATCCTCTCACAGTCACATATAACATTTCGTTATTGAAGGAATTATCAGTGAAGAAAAATTCGACCGCGTATCTATTATCGCTCATTACTTCAGTTAGTTATATAGAAGGATAACTCTTGTTTTCCATTTATTGCGCCACTTCCGTTTCTTCAAATCTTCGTTACGCATCGATGGTAGTAATGATCTCTGAGTTAAAATTATATTTGGAATGTGTTTAACCAGTTCTATGGCATATATGATAATGGCTGACACCAATATTATACTTTAAGACACGGTGAAATATTTCACATTGTGACAGGTTTCGTAATAGTTTAAAATAATCGTTTTAGTGCCCTAAACTGTTCATGACACTATGTATTCAGATAATGCATTATCCTGAATGATGGAACGGCTTCAAATATTAGATAATATTATAACAATTCTATGATACAAAACACGGAAGTCACAAATATTCACACAGTTGGTTGGCTTTCCTATTTCACCCATGTATATACATGTAATATACACCAATAAACATTCAGATAATGCATGTTGTAAACAATGCCTATTATAAAATAAGATAGATATAATATACATTCAGTGAATGCATATCATGGGTGGAATTGATTAACAACAGACAAATAATATTATTTTATCGCTCTCAAAAACATTTCAATTTGATCCCAATCAAATAATTTTGGGGCAGCCGTAAGATATGTAATTTGGTTAAGTTGCGCTATTTTGGATTGTAGATATATTTCATAAACCATACTATTATTCTCTGAAAAGGTCGGAATAGTTTTGAAATAAGCAAAATAGTTATATGCAATACAGTAATTATATATATTTAATTTTATAATTATGTACTTACAATCTTCTGTCGATGAGGGCGAATTAATTAAATAACAGTAAAATGTAATTAACATGCTGTAGCCAGTTAGGGCGTAGGATCATTTGTGAGACAATAGGTAAATTATCGTAAGAAATGAAATCACGTTTCCATTTTTAGTTTTCTTTTTGAAATGTTGAAGACAATAGTAAATTCGCATTGTTTTTAATTTGCCTCAAGCACGTTTGAAGTCCTGATTTTTTTGTGTAATTGTTAATGGCCTATATAAGACTGACACAATGAACAAACATGTTCACTGTTTACCAACGTTCATATTAGTAATCGTCACACCACCCACGTGATGATGTACATATCATTGACGAGGTCACGAACTCAAACAATGGGTCAAATTAGTAAGCTGAGTAAAAATCCGGAAAGCGGAAATGTCGTCCCGACATCATGAATTAATAACCTTTTGGAAACCTATATAAATTAACGCAAAATAATTTGTCCAGTTAATAGCATATGTGTTGCCCATACCATGCCAGATATTCCAAAGCAAAAAGCAAATTATTTCTTTCCAGCACGAGTGACTTGACCTGTCTTGTGAGATGTTTGATAAAAAAGAGGCTATGACTTTTACTAATTTTTTTATCTTTTCAACACATGATAGCCTGCGTCACATCCGAATTTTTACAAAATGTTAACGGAGCGAATAGTAAAATCACATTGAATAAGGTTAATTCTCTAGTATGTGTTTACTTTATTCCTAACTCTTATAATTTTCAAAAATTCGTAAAAAAGAGAGTAATTAAATTTAGTTATCCAACAGATTAAATCTGTGTTCCACTGATTCATGTCACTGTTTCATAATCGAATAATATTGACGACAATAGTTCTCCCTGTATATACCCCTTATTGAAAATTTAAAAAAAATAAAAAAATAACAAAATTGATTCTGACTACTCTCCAAAGGTTACCGTTCCTAGAGAGAAACTACGTCATTTCAGAACGCAGTGCCAGGAAACAAGAGGACCAGATAAGGTTAGGAAGTCAGCTCTACTCCTTGCCAGGTGCAAGGTTGGAATCGAAACCACTAAGTCTTATGATTTAAATCGTACCCGTAACGAACACTCGACCACCTCACTCTTCGATTTACCTTAAACCAGTAGCTATGGCATCTAAAATCAAAATTCATGCTGTATACATAACAAAGTATATCTACCCGCTCTGTGATATATCTCATACCACCTCTTATTTATATAGGAATATCAATTCATTTATACTGTTTTATTTCAGAAACCGATTGTCGTTGATGGATAAATCGGTGCCTTAATCAATTAGTAACCGCCCGACATTGGCCAGTACGCGTAGTACAGGCTGTATTGCGACGGAGCTTGCTGTAATACCCTTCCAGGAAGACGTGTGTTACCACAAGAACTGTCATGGCCCTTATTGACAGTTAATTTATTTCACATAGTCTATAAAAGTTTATTATTTAAATATGTTATGCTTTGTCATGTTTAGTTTTTCTATCTTTAATTTTTTTTTCACCATTGTCTTTATCATCGCAAATGAACTAAAGGATATACTTTTTTTTTACTTCGTTCAAATACGCGACGCTATTGTTAAAATGGACGCATAAAGAAATATTTTCCGGGGTGGCTATAATACAAAAGCAATCAAGTTTATTTAGGGTCAACTAACATAATAATCACGCGAAGATCTATTGGTGCAATATTAGCACAACTTGAGATGTGACTGGTATGCTAAATTTAAGTCAAAAATGATTGTGCTCCCATACGAGGACTGGCCGAAAAGTTCTAAGCCTAAAAGAATAGATGGATAGATCAATTATTGGGTTGTAACAAAGTTTTGCCATTAGAGAACAACCCTTTGTCGAAATCACCACCTCCCAGATATTATTCGATGGTACTAAAATGCCTCAAGTAAAGAAATATCGACGACAGCTAGATTAAAAAATTGACCATTTGGAAAAAAAAAGAACACAAAAACCCCCCAAAAAACCCACAGTTATTAAATGGGACTTTAAGTATTAATCGGTATGGAACAAATTATACCCTATTTAGTTGAGCTGTAGAATGTTATAATGTGAAAATTATTGTATTGTATCCTATATAGCTAACGCATATATTGTGTGTAAATTATTTAATGTTATTTAATAAAAGCTATATGTGGTACAGAAATGAACTTCACGTATAGTTTATAAAACTATTGTTCTCAGATTACCTCTGGATAAGCGGCAAAATATCATATCAAAGTCTATCGGCATTCCGGGAACACCCCTGTACAATCATTAAATGAATCATATACATAACAACTGCAACTGTAGCTTCGTACGAGCTAAATCTTTTTTTCGAACACATTTTGGACATTTATTCACTTGACAGGCCCACAATCAACCTACTCGGACATCGGATGGCTGACATATTAAGCGGATTAGACATTATCCGTCATGTCTTCGTTATAAGTTTAACCGAAAAATCTAGACTTCGTTTATTTTCGTATCAATGGCGCCAGAAGATCTAGACTATTTAGGCTATTTATTGTCAAAATGACCTATTGCGCATATTGAGTGGACGCTAAATCCAATTTCTGTCTCACTGGTCCCATTCATAGACATTATTAAAATTAAAACTACATAATGATGTAAAAAAAAATATATATAACGAAATGAACCTTAACGGAGTGTCTTTTTGCAAATTAAACACGATCCTGTACAATAAAAACAGCTTGAAAACAATTATTTGCTAGCATTTCAAAACCCTTATACAATATGTAGCCATAAATAAATATATAGACCACAGACTTTTATGGCTTTTAATTGTTCTTATATTTTTTCACGTATGTTCCGGGCAGGGTATCTTAATACCGACTAAACCATAAACATTTATCCCTAAACTGTCCCAGAGCAAGACACGATTCTAAAACATTTTAACAAGGAATCCACGTAAGTAATGAAATTGTTTTTATTTTTTTACTTAAAAATAGCCCAAAGGCTTTCAAACAGCAAACCCACAAAAATGATGTCCAGTTTGTTTAGAAGTCTAGTGGTGGGACTTTTTTTTTACTTAGAAGTATTTTGTTCTCGGGATATAAGATTGTCACAATTGAGCCCAGGTCTCACTTTAGAATCGAAACAGTAGAAGACCAGAAGAGATTATTTCTGAGAAGAGATTATTTTATGAACATATCATATCTTTGACGGCTGTGACATACCACATTTTCCGTCTACTGGGGACTCCCACCGCAGTCAATATCAAGTTAAAATCAGCAAACAAAGACCGAATTATTGAGGAAGTCAAAACGTGTAGTGTATGCAAAAAAGGCTAGAGGAAATTATGAAATATGTTGATCTTCACCCTATTATTTTGGACGTTATTTATATTTCTCTTTCCACCATATTATCAGATACAAACGTGAATGTACTTTAGATTTAATTGTTGGCGTCTGTGAAACTATGTTCTTTGCTTGAATTTAATTAAAGACGGACCTATACGTAAAAGTAGTTTGAAGTCCTAGGATATTGTTCAGCCTTTTTCGTGGCTGAGTGGGTAAGACGCTGGCTCGCTAGCCTGAAGGTAGCTAGCCTTGTCAGTGATGCAGGACGGGGGGCCTGACAAGGACAGCTGTCTAGTCGTTCGGATAGGACGAAAAACCGAGGCCCTATGTATACATTGGCGTGCACGTAAAAGATCCCTTGGAAGTTGGAATTTGATACAAGAGTAGGCCATAGTGCCACTGCCCGGGCTAAATTATCCCCATTGCACACTGTATGGCGTATGCCCGTCTTAATTAGCCCAGTGGGAACAGAACAGTAGGACGTTAAACCCCATTTCATTTCATCCTTTTACAATCCAGTTTATGCTGTCATTTATTATAGGCTTAGTGATCTCGCAAGGGCACCCTGAAGATGTTTTGCAAAAGCATCATCATTATTGTTGAAATTTTACTACATTTAATATATTCATCTTACCTTATGTAAATTACGAGCTTGATAAAGTTAAAAGATAAAACACGAATAAGTGAATTTAGTATACAATGTGCGTGCAGATGCAAACTCGTATCACTCTAAGCTATTCGCATCATTTCCTGCACAATGTAATAGTAATATTATGATGTTATTTCCTATAGTGTTTGTATTTATAAAACTTTGAAAAGTATAAGGGGCGTTGCCAGCCCCAAAAGGGGGAAATAATGAAGATGGTCAGATATTATATAACGTATTCTGCGAAAGTGTGTTTAGTGTTTCGGATAGAAATTGGTAGTGCATGCAAAATCAACTAAGAGGGGGGGGGGGGGGGCAACGCTGTTCGGACAAAATCACCCTGCATTGCAGACGTAACTATAGACATAAGAAAGAAAATCACGCAAAGCGTGGAATACGTCCACACGAAAGCTTTGTCTCATCTGCAGCTTATCCGAGAGGAAAACTTGGATGCTGAAAAAATGTGATGACCTCGGAACAGAAAGTCGCAGATTGCTTAATATCGATAGGATTAAGTCTCTCGTCACCCCAATGTTCCCCCCCCCCCCAAATTTAAAAGAAATCATTAAAAAGTAAAACATCTATCCGGTTCACAAGGTTTTTGGCAATTGAGGATAACACTGGAATGGAAAGTCACAGAACATCGAATATCGATAGGGTTTATCCTCTCAAGACCCCAATGTGTACAACCAAATCCGAAAAAATCTGCCGAAAACTACAGCCTCTATCGCGTTAACAATGTTTTCGACAAAGGGAGTATTACTCTCTAAGGGAATCTCGTAAACACTGAATATTGATAAGGTTGGTCCGCTCATCACCCAATGCTTTACACCAAATTTGAAAAAGAATCCGCCCAAAACAGCAGCCTTTGTTGCGTTCACAATGTTTTCGGCAAAGTAAAGGGGAGATAACTCCCGAACGGAAAGTCGCAGAACAATCGGTAGGATTAGTCCTCTCATAACCACGCCAAATTTGAAAAGAATACGTTGAAAAAGGGGCATAAGTCGCGAAACATAGGGTTTGCCCTCTCATGATGCTTCACACCAAATTTGAAAAGAATCCGTCAAATACTGTAGCATCTATCGTGTTCACACGATTGTTGGCGGAACGACGAGGACTGGCCGACAGGGTGACGACATAATACGCGTATAAAAAAAACGTGTGGACCTTAACTACACACACACACACACACACTTTCAAAATGACCAAAGTAGGCATTAATCCCCTTCCCACTCAACCCCTAATAATTCATCTCGCTGTCAGCATGTATTGAAATGACTGAGATACGTCAAAATGAATGGAAATAGCTGGATCCAAATAGCTGGATTCACAAATTCATAAAACCTACATTGGGAGCTATAGTTAAAAGTAAGACTAATATCCTTACCTATTTAACGTAATACAATCCAAGACAATAGGACCAATACATCTTAATAGGTGATTACACGTCTATATGGCTTTCTCAACTCCAAAATAAGGTGCTTTAGAAAGCTAACACTACATGCAATGTTCAAACCACTTAAGAAAGCAAACTTGGTCTGGTTGGTTAATATATGGCCCAGTGCACGTGTACAAGTACTAGATCACATGAATGTCACTGATAAAAAGCCACGGACCAATAAGAGTGTACAACATGTTCAACAGGTCGAAAGAAATGACAACTAAGAAGAAACTATAAGAATATCACGAATTGCGGAAAAGTGACCGATTTCGTTCAAGTATAGAATGTTTTTTGATGATAAATGGTGGAGATGTATAAATAGTGAAATGTACGGAAAACTCCGACGTTGTGTTTCATTAATATATTTTTAAATGAGTTTATTAAAAACTGTCCATCTTGTAGGATTGGTTAAGATGTTAAACTGACCCGGAAATAAAGAGAAAAATATAACAATATGATAAAATCTATTTAGATTTGGTACAACTTGAGTACGACAAAAAATTAATAATAAATAAAATCAAACTTTGACGACAATCTCTCCAGCTGCCCTATTTCAAGAGGAAGCTTCCGAATACTTGCTTATATTTTCGTCCGAATCTAGAATGTAACATTTCAACAACAAAGTTACTAAGCCTACTGATCGGACATAACGAAATGGGGGAATTGTTCATTCATTGATATGCGTTTGAATCAAAAGAGGGCTAGGCGGGAAGGGGTTTTCGTATATTGTTATTCACCAAATAGTCGATATATTATGTTTAGGTGTTAAACCCAATTTCATTTCATATTAGTTTCTAAATACTCTAAATGATGTTTGGGTACTTGTGGAAAATTATTCGTTTAAACTGGGTCTGTTTCTAAAAGTCGTAGACTTTGATTTCAGCATGTACTGTCACGTATTGATTATCGAATATTCAAAATGATCTCAATGTTGTATCCTTGTCCAGTACATCCTCACCCTAGTCGGTGATTAACGGGTTAAATCGGCTGGAAATATGACCATGACTATTGATAACAGTGGCGTAAAATCAAAAAATGTTTGTACTTCTCACCCAAAGATAGTCACACCTAAGCTCCATAATCATACTGAGATGTCCACCTACTGGAAAAGTCTTGGACAACGATAGAGGTCCCAACACAATTGCTTTCTCGGTTTACTAATGTGACCAAATCTCAATATCTCTTCTTACATTTTCTCTGTCAAATATCAAATTCAGGTTCCTAGACGAATCCAAAATTTATGAAAAATATCTCTTTCTTGGATGATTATCAAGTTGATGAACAGAATCCTTCTTACTTAATCCGCCATATTAGGAATAGTGAACATTATACTGAGACCTAAAACCCACCAAATTTAAGACTGAAAATACCTAAAAGAAACATATAATGCATGATGTGGTAAGTGTGTTCCGTCAGCGATTTTATATCTTTTAAGATAAAATCTATAGATTTTAATCTACAGCGGAAAACTATTTCAGAAAAGTAAAATTGTACTTGTAAACAGAAACGAAGAATAATACAATCACACATAATACACAAATTATAGTATTTTTGTAGATGGTTCTTTAGGTTCGCGTTCTTGTTTGACCTTAAATACCAGCACGTCTTTCTTTCTTTATTTTATCATTCCATATCATCGGATTTAATTCAGATATAGATATTTTAACATTTCCATTTTCAATGATGATGTCAAGATGAATTTAGATGATATAGAAAAAGCTGTATTGACATTAAGTCGTTTCCATTTCCTGATTCTGTGACGTAGCCAGAGTTTGTTCAGTCAAGAAATGCTCTAGACACCCCCCCCCCCCCCAACCCTACGCCCATGACAAACATAACACGATACATATGGAAAAATGAAATTGTGCCCGGGGTCTTGCGTCCTTCTACTGTTCCGACAGGGATTTTAATGACAGTAAATATAAAAACGAATCCTCCCGCACACGTACCATTGGGACACACAGCCATCCTTGACCCGCACTAGCCACGTTATTGTTTGCATGGCTACGCAAGGTAGAAGCTGGTAATAGTAATTGTATCCTTAGAAGTCAAATTTTCCATCACCCTTGGTCAAGATCTTCCACTTTTACATAATAGTATTTTGTGAGAAAGAATGTGTCTATTTAAATTTAAATTATTTGAGATATCACCAGTCATGGCCGGCTTTTGGCACATTGGACCAATTTCTCCCAATTAGGACCCGCACTTGGAAGGGGCTCCGAAGCTCACCAAATTTAAAGATTTCCATGCAATCTGGCAACAGGGCTGCCAGGTGTGGCGACATTCATGTATTAAGCAATGATTAAAATACAGATCTATATTTCGTTTCGTTTTTTTTAAATACTTTCGATGACCCACGCTAGTGTAGTAAAGACAAGTAAAACGAAATTTTGAACTATAAAATTGTATTAATCAATTACTAATTGTGTGAAGGAAAACATAATTGATCTTAAATATGAATTAATATAGGCCTAGTTAAAGTTATTCATATCCTTCAATGTATTCATATCCAGTAACTTTTGACCTCCCAAATTGAACCCCACATTTTCTACAACCGGCCCTGTAAGCAGTACACTAATAATTCAAATTCCAACTAGCAGCTTAAATTCCAAGACATCGTTTCCCTAATTTGACACAGCATAATACTTTCAACTGTATATTCTATAAACAAAAAACATATAATCTGAAGTCAGAAAATATTAAAATAAAGTATCTAGTTGACAAAATGTGATAATACATGTAATTAAGAGTGTCTTATGTATAGTGCAGGATGGGGGGCCTGACAAGGACAGCTGTCTAGTCGTTCGGGTGGGACGAAAAACCGAGGTTCCGTGAATACATAGGCGTGCACATAAAAGATCCCTCATAGCACAGTCGGAGCAGAACAGTAGGACGTTAATCTCCATTTCATTCCATTTCTTGTCTTATGTATATATTAGTAGATCTGGTTTAACCATATTCTATTGCAAATAATTTACAAATGGATGAGGACAATTTATAGAATTTATGAACATTATCCCAGAGAGAGAGAGAGAGAGAGAGAGAGTAAAGTCCACTCGACACAAACTAGGTAATTTCGAGACTAAGAAAAACTAGGTTATTTCGAGACTAACATATGGTTCTATTTTATTTCAATAAATCGCTTGCGCCTTTAGGTCTTTAGCAGTGGGAGGGAACCAGAGAACCCGGAGAAAACACACGAGGTTGGACAGGCGGCCCTACTCCTTGTCACGCCGGACATTAGCACATCACTTTGAACGGTATTGAAGTGGCATCTAAAAAAGTAATGGTATATATTTTCTACTGACGTTTTACAAGAACATCGAGGAGTGCCAATAATGTTTGATTGAAATAGGTCATTATTAAGGCTACTTGATAAATGGCAGAGTCGATTATGAAGGTTAGTTTACGTATGCCAGTGTTTCTATAATATGGTGTTGGAAATTTAATTGTAATAGATTTTTTGAAATTGAGATATGAATTGGCATTTTTTTGTTTATCAGTTAATAGTTTACTATATTCAGAAAGAGTTTTAGGAAAAAAAATGTTTTTTTTTTAAGACTTGGTCTACAAAAAGGAATCGGTATAGTTTCTTGATTTCTTAGAAGGAACTATTGACAGAAGAAACTAAAGCTGGGAAGTCTGGGGGCCAATGACCATTTATTATTTTCCAAAGTAAACAAATAATAGTAGATCGGCAAAGGAGTGATTTCCATTAGAATCGTTTCATTCTTGAGTGAAGCTTGATAACAAACCTCATCTCTAAACAAATAATAGTAGATCGGCAAAGGAGTGATTTCCATTAGAATCGTTTCATTCTTGAGTGAAGCTTGATAACAAACCTCATCTCTCACCCCTTCGTGTTTCGATATAAGATACAATATTTTTCATCAACACGACAATTGATTATTGTTATTTATAATATTTCTGCCATATCCAACTACAATTAAGCATATAATCCTACCTAAAACGGGTATAAATCATTGCATTTAAAATCGAAGCGTTAAGACTAGGAATGCCATTTTTAAACGGGAGATGTATGACGGTGTATGTCGGATAAAAAACCCGCTTCATTAATTTAAATGAAATGAAATGAAATGGGGTTTAACGTCCTACTGTTCTGCTCCGAACTGGGCTAATGAAGACGGGCATACGCCAAACAGTGTGCTATGAAGGAAATTTTGCCCTGACAGCGGCACTACGGCCTACTCTTATATCGAATTCCAACTGTCAAGGGATCTTTTACGTGCACGCCAATGTGTACACGGGACCTCGGTTTTTCGTCCCATCCGAACGACTAGACAGCTGTCCTTGTCAGGCCCTCCGTCCTGCATCACTGACAAGGGGGGGGGGCACGCCGGAAAATCGGATGAACTTTCTCGGTCAATGCAGGGACCGAACACCCGACCTCCAGGCTAGCGAGCCAGCGTCTTACCACTTAGCCACGTGATCCCCTTCATTAATTTAAACGCGAACATTTAGAGTTAGGCGATAGTTGTGCCACTACATTGGCCTCTGTAAGTTTAATTAGTCATAATAGTATAAAATTATCTTATTTTTAAGATGTTACATGCATTAATAAAGAAAATGAGTTTGCCACTTGGAACTAAAGGCACCCACTCGTAGCTAAAAACAAGCACATCAGTATATCTCAACGATTTTAGCTACGTTTGAATCTTTGTACAGGAGTAGTATGATACACTAAGGATGATTCATGAACGTTTGGACTTTCTGAGGGTACCTGGCTGGTATATGAGTATGTGTGCAAACATGGGCAGTGCACGACGTGGTTATCTGTGAAATCAACGTATTAAGTGTATCCAAATATCTTTAGTCCAATTACATTCATAAATGAAATAATGAAGAGTTGGTTAATCTAAATCTCGATATAGTATCGGAAACGAAGTGTCGGTCACCATGAATTCCAAAATGTCGACTACAGTAAGAGAATTTTGACAGTGTAGTAGGCATAATTTTGTTTCAACCATTTACAGCTTTTAAAATAAAAATGAATGTATAAAGGCCGTTGGCTATCTTGAAATCCAATATGGCGGCTGTTGTAAGTGAATTTTAACAGTCGGATATACTCACTAGGCGCAGTAAGCGTTAGAATTCTGTTTCTGGCATTTGTGGTTCTTGAAATACAAATGCATATCTAAAACGTGGGGGCCATCAGGAAATCCATTGCCATAATGTCTGAAATGGAAAATTGAACACAAATAGGTTATTTTGGCGACCATTTTGGAATTTAAGATGGTGGCCACATTTTGAGGTCCATTTAGAAAAAAACGATCCTTTACGATCCTTTCTGGCATTTGTGGTTCTTGAAATACAAATGAATATCTAAAACTTGGGGACCATCGGAAAATCCAATGACATAGTGTCTGAAATTGGAAATTGAACACAAATAGGTTATTTTGGCGACAACTTTGGAAGTCAAGATGGTGACCACATTTTGAGGCCCATTTAGAAAAAAAACCCAATCCTTTACGCAAGAAGTGAACGATTTTTTTTGCTTAGCCGCTCTGCAATATAAGATCTAATCAAAATGATGATATTCAATATTAAAGTAATATCTAGCGTCTGGGGAAGAGTAACATACAAAGCTGCTGGTAGGCGTATGTACTGTTAACTTTTATCCTTGGTAAATGGCCACTGATATATTCGTAGCGCATTCAAGCGTTTTAAGAGTTCGAACAGTGTTATGTATCGGCAACTCAATAAATTGTGGCCAGGATTTTAAAATTGCCGTTAATCACCCTGTTTTCAAGAGTTCATGAGTTTTCAAAGCTCAAGCTTGAAGTTGAAACCATCAAGATACGCTCGTGAAACAAATACGACAGTACAATATGAAACATAACGCCAGCATGACGCCATCACCGCCTCTTGCAATTGTGACATCATATCAAAAATCAAAGCCAGTCAATCGATACGCAATTGTTCAAGATACAAGGATGCCAAGTTTCGCGATGATTGAACGTGAGTTGGCGGAGCCGTAGGTGTGTTTCGATGAGTGCAACACCCAATAACAACAAGATGAGTAGTAGCGCCCAGGGACATATTCCTGGTCCAAAACCACCCTGGGGAATTGCAATAAAATAGGGTTGACTCAATAAATTACATACATGGGGGCGTACAATTAATATAAGCTTTGCATTCAGGATTACGTCGTTTATTAATTTATCTCATCTGAAGCACGCACACGCACATCTTGTGGTTAAGGAAATCATTCAAGTATTTCATTTCAACATATATTTATCTTTTATATATATAACTCCTTTGCATTTCCATGACAAAAACTTTGCACTGACATGATAAGCATGGACATAAAAGAAGCAGCTACATGATCCAGAGATGAAACGTGTTATATAAATGGTATAATCAAAGTGCGAAGCACTGGGCTTATACAAAAGAACAAAAAGAAACAAGTACCTAATTTCTTTCAGGCAATAGTGGACCACGTGGTAAAAACTAAACCATGGTCATGGAGCTTAATCATCTAAACAGTTTAAGGACAATCCCTTCTGCGGAGGAACTTCAAAAAATGACACAGTACGACATCGTGGATACTCTGCAGATGGAACTGAGTGTGGTCTTCCTGATTCTGAACACGTTTGCCAGAGCGACACTGTCTCCACCATTCATGGATAATGTAAACAGTCAACTTGGACAGGGCATAATTAATAACAATAATAATATAGGTCCTGAACATGGAGAAAGCAAGAGTCACGAAAGTAAGTAGGACATTTGTTCGATGAGTACCTCTGTCTGCTCATCGGTCGTATAAACGTTAATACCAATATTATTGCTCCAGTGACGTTAAGTTATTATTTTCTTTGGACATACTATTAAGTGGAAATCGGGAGATCCCCTAAATATCGTAAAGTATTATTCATGGATCCTCGCTTGATCAAATGATGCATGAATCACACATAAGCGGAACATGTACATGCATCTATTTATTGACTATTGATTATTGATTCATTGATTATTACAACGATTTAAGTATGGAATGATAATAGCGTGCTTGGTTTATTTTAGGTTGGGGATATCACGGACATGATGGTAAGTATTTAGCTATGAAAGTAAATATCTAGTTACTATTACTCGATTTTTTTATAATTCATTTTCTGTATCTGTCTTGTTACTACTGTTTAATATATGGTACTTGGCACTGGCTCTAAAACCCACGTCACCTTCTCGAAAATATAACTTCATTTTGTTTAAAGAGTTAAAACTTTTAAATTAAAAATTCTCGTGTCTTAATATTGCATTAGTCGATGTTTAGACGTACTGAAATGAATATGACAACTTACATTCTATCGAACAGCAACGTTACGGGCTGCGGCGATCTTTAATCCACAAACAAATGTATCTACACCTAATAAGTTACGATTTTCTGGCCGCCATGTCAATTATATTGCTCCAATAGAACAAGGCAGTGCGTCTATATATCATTTTTTTTATTGCAGGGCCTTATTCATGGCCGACTCATACGGCTGCATGTGGAGGTTTCTACCAATCACCGATTAATATACAAAGCAGTGCGGTTATACCGACGGGGACAGGAGGTATTCAGATGATTGGCTTCGACAAAGAGGCAAAAGTAGAATTAAAAAATAACGGACATTCTGGTTAAGTATTTTATAGTCAATGTCGATTAGTATTTAATTTAAACAGAACACTATTTTGATGAGAGAACAATCACTGGTTTTATTCTAAAAGCACGAAGATTTGACAATTATCCTCTTATCGTTATCAAGCATAATGTTGTTCCCGTGTTTAAATAATGTATCCAATGTAGTTAATGTGTTCCCCAATCGCTAAATGTCACTTAAAGATTAGTCTTTACTTGGTCTTGTTATAACGTCAACACCACAGGCTAGCTCGCTAGCCTGGAGGTCGGGTGTTCGATCCCTGCATTGGCCGAGAAAGTTCATCCAGATTTTCCGGCGTGGTTCTCCCTTGTCAGTGGTGCAGAACGGAGGGGCTGACAAGAAAAGCTGTCTAGTCGTTCGGATGGGACGAAAAACCGAGGTCCCGTGTACACATTGGCGTGCACGTAAAAGATCCCTTGGCAGTTGAAATTCGATATAAGAGTAGGCCGTAGTGCCGCTGTCCGGGCAAAATTTCCCTCATAGCACACTGTATGGCGTATGCCCGTCTTCATTAGCCCAGGTTAGGAGCAGAACAGTAGGACGTTAAACTCCATTTCATTTCATTTCATTTCATTTCAACACCACAGCGGTCGTTACAATACCACCCACCACCCCCAACAGATAATAGTCCATAAAATTCAATGTGGTGTAGACTTTTTACTATAATGGACTAGACTGGAATAGAATTCAGTCAAAATTTAGTATCATTTAACTACATATAGTTCCGGTTTCTATAAACGATGCAATGTTTTATTTAAAGGGTTCTCATAATTCATAAATACCTCTCACGAAACATATTGGTGAATTATCGACTGTATTATTAAGAAACCAATATTTATACGTTCAAATAGATCTTAGAGGTAAATGCGTATGGATTCTTTTCTTGAACTGAGATTTGTTTTTCAGTTTATGTAAATATACGGCATGATACCATGACGATACAAAATGGCGGACTCGACGCACCATATCAAGCTGTACAGTTTCACTTCCACTGGGGAAGTAACGACACTAGAGGATCAGAACATACACTCAACGGCCGGGCATTTCCCATGGAGGTATTGTGAAATATAAACAGAGGTTCAATTCTATATTGGTTGTGAAAAGGGATCTGATTCTAAGTTAAAGCGTGCGGGGTGGGGTGGGATGGGGTGGAGGTGTTCGAATGCTAGACCTCGGATCCATTCACTGGATCTGATATATACGTTTGTTGCTTGAGGTGTCTGTGTATATTATGTCCTGTCCGTATGTTTTTCTTGTGTAAAGGCGCCCCCACCCCCCGCACTTACTATAGCTATTTATATTTGGCTAAATTTAGATTTGTTAATTAGTCTATTGAATTTGACAAAAATAGCTAATAATATTTTTTATTGTTGTTTCAGATGCATGTGGTTCTCTACAAACAAATGTATGGACGTTTGTCAAGTGCTATTTTACATCCAGGGGGTGTTGCTGTTCTTGGCACTTTCTTTGAGGTTAGTTTATTGTATGATCGTACGCGACAAAGAGTAAAATCTAACATCGGACCTCGCAAATTCTCACCAGGTTCTGTGGTTTTCTTCCCATTCCCACCGATAAAGAACATTGCACATGAGTTAAACAAGTAAGATGCCGCTAAGCCAATCTATTTCATTTGCCAAAATTTAGAAATGCATATACTTGGCAGCACAAGCTTATTAATACGCATGCACTATCAAGGAAATGAAATGGAACTCCTATTAACGTCCTACTTTTCTGCTTCATGTCCCCTAATGAAGACGAGCATAGTCATGCAGTTTGTATTGGGGAAATTTTGCCCGAATAGAGGCGCTACGGCAAGGGTTCTTTTACATAGATGCCAAGGTGTATATGAGGCCTCGGGTTTTCGTCCCATCCTATTGACTAGGTGTTGTTTCTTGACTAGCCCCGACCTTTACAACAGACAAGGAAAAACCACACCATAATCCCATAAATTGAACCCGGGTCCGCTAGGTTAGCGTCTTACTCACTGAGCCACTGGAAGGAGTGTCAATATTTCACACACAATAACGTGTACTGTATCATTGTATCTTTGATACTACTTGACCAATATACAGTGTATTGGCAAAAACCTGGTTTAATTTTGACAAAACTTTGACTTAATTTTATACTTTATTCAGATATCCTCACAAGATAATGGAAATTATTCTGAATTACTTGATAAAATTGAAGATATAAGATATCCGAAAGGTAAATAACTTTTTTTCCTCTTTTGCTCTGAAATTTAGTGTATTGTAATGTGCATATTGATTGTTGCTTCGTTTTGTCTGTTAGCGGTACGTATAATTTGTTCTGGCAATGTTCCGGTTTTCACTGGAATTATATTAATCTTTCATAACAACCTTTATTCCCACTGGCATCAATTAAAGAACATTCCGATTCAGAAATGATATTTTGAATCACTGGCCGGGGTGTTCATACCAATCGCAAAGTTTTAAAATGCAATAGTCTACGGACTTAACTTAGACGATTGAATTAAATTTCAGTCGATTGAAAAATGTAATGATGTTCTGATTGTTTTCACTTCATTTGTTTTTAACTGGATGTTTAAAACTACGACTTCCAAGAATGGAACTTAAACGATAAAAATAGAGACACTCCGTCAAAAACCCAAGTTTCGGCTCCAAGTGCAGCAATGGCTAGAGAGCGATCAGAAATATCATGCTCGATGTATCTGTTATTTTAATTTAGCGTTTGATAGCCACGAATCCCTGATCAGGTTTCTAGGTAATTACATAGTTCATCGTTTCCCCGAGAATCCCCCCCCCCCCCAAAAAAAAAAAATATATCAAGAAGACTATTAAGCCAAAATTTGAAACCTAATCAATTAATTTGTGACGGATGTTCTTATGTTGTTTTATTTAAATTCTACAGATAAAGCAAACTTTACCCTAAAATCTTTGGCTAGTTTGTTACCAAGTTTTGATAATTACTATCGTTACCATGGTAGTTTAACAACACCACCATGTTCTGAGACGGTTATATGGACAGTTTCAACAGACAGAATTTACATTTCCGAAAAACAGGTACGTATTATTACTTTATGACTTTGTTTTATACTTTGAAAATTCAGTTACTTTACCTGCTCCAAGATTAGCACAATACAAATAACATTTGGGTAGGAGGATAATTAATTTGGTTCGCTTGTTCTATCTCATTTCGTATTTTCTCCCATCACAACCTTTGAAAGACCTCAAACTGACATCTAGAGAAGTCAGATAAAAGCCTGACATAGCTTTATTATCATAGTAGTTCGCCTAAATTCGAACATCAACGCCATCCCTGCATATTGTACCAATCTACTGTACTACAATTAGCTAGAATATATTTTCATAAGGACAGTCTATAACCTGGATTCAACCATCAATATTTTATGACCCCCCCCCCCCTCCGAAATATGGTTGCAAATGTTGCCTTCACTGTAATCGCTCATTCCACAACTAGAATAATATTGAAAGCACGTTCCAATGATAAGATGTTGAGCGGGATTGTAAACGATATCTGACTGACTTCCACACTAGTTTTATCGCAGACAGGGTATGCGTTCGGGCACGATTCTCCTAACATATATATATATATATAGACCCGTTTTCTATATTTTTTCAGATCTAGAGCAGACTAATTTTTAAAGCAAATTTAAAAATTGTAATTGACTTTTTTGGGGGCAAGAGATAAGGCTTAATGTTCAATTTTAGATTGCATTTATTTATACACTTTTTTCAGATGGAAAAATTTCGAAAAGTAGTTTCTTCTGAAAAAGATTGGAGTGGCAGAGATTTATTATTGGTGGACAATTACCGCCCAGTTCAAAGTTTATATGGCCGGAGAATCACATCAAACACAGCAGTTAAACCTGAATATTAACTCTAGTACTTAACTTCTTGATCCAAGTTTTTAACTATGTTAGCTCAAAGCTCAGATAAACGTTTAACTCGCAGCTAATTTGAATAAAAAAAATATTGATACCCCGGTGTCCATGTAACGAGTCGAACTCATTGTGGGAAATATGCCAATATCGGAACATGGAAATGAGCATTGGCAAGAGCTAGCAGCGCGAATCAGAAGAAAAAAAAATAGTATCTCGGATCACGCAATCTGGATGGCTGAGTTACCTAATAACGGTCCAGTTATTCATCTGTAGGATTTTTATTGTAAAACTGGCCACATGACTGAGACAAGTAAAAATACTTAAATCAAATTTTGTCGCGCCATCAAAGTGGATGTATTTTAGACAAATTCGACCTGACGCGTTTAAAATCAACTTTCCTCCATATCGAAACGACCACCAAAAGAACCTGACTGCCATTTTTGAAACTATGCATTTTATTCTGACCATCTTTCGGGTATGCATAACTTTCTCAACATAAAACACCCAATACCCATTATGATCTAATGCATCATAGAGCCCCCCCCCCCCCAAAACATGCAAATGTTTCAAAAGTCATGCTCCTAATTTTACAATTAAGGAATAAAAAGATGAAATCTATATCTAGGGTCATTTATTTTTCCACAATATACATTGCCAATTATCCTTTGTAATAATCGTTACGTTTTGACTGTTAGTTGTCGACGATGTTTAATATAAAGGTAAAGGGATATAACTCCAGCATGAATAAACGGACGAGGACTAGTGATTATTTCTAGTGTGAGTTACAAACAGACAAATTTTCCCCTTAATTTTTGTTCCCCCCTTTTCCCGCATTTTACGGTTGACTTTTTGGTCTAGGTTTGAAGAAAGGGGATTAAATTTGTAATTTCACAGCAGTTTTGTGTAATATTGATCGTATTATAGTGGAGGCATGGGGTGTATATTGTCTTTGTGCAGAGCAATCATTGCGTCGGAAGTGGCATTTTGACCCCAGTCAACATCACATCTGCCTAGCACTGGGTAAATACTTGCTAGTCCGAGCCCCGATAGATCAATCATCAGTAACCGATTTGGCTTGGAGCCTTATGAATGTGAAAAGTGTGAAAGAATTACATATCGTTTTGGTTCTGTGTTTTTATATCAAATCAATTCTATTAAGGTAATTAAAAGTATATCTATCTAAACTGCAACACCGGAAGCGAAAACATGTTCTGTCTAGTGCATGACTTCCGCACTTCATGGAGCAAATGATCCCAAATAAAAGAAATGTCTTAGACCCTCTTCTTCTCGAAAGTGTAAGCATGTTTGGACACGAGTTTTAGAAACATAATTTAGACTACTAGATAGAAAATAATCTCTGGCTATTTGCCCGTAGCAGAATCACAATCCAAGTACAAAAGAATTCGTTCTCTTAATGAATAATATTTGAACTACTATACCTTGATTTAACCCCTTTTATGACACATTTAACCACCATTCCCAAGGAAAGTGAAAAAAAAACGGCTTTAACTTAGTTAACCTTTATCTGTTCTGTTGCTTAAACCATTCTTAATTTCCCCATCGTCTTCTACTTCCACCGGTTGTCTTATTACATGCCATTAATATGCGATAGCATTCAACGATTCATTTTTATAACGAGTTTATCCATACTTTATGCCAGCCATGCTTGCGAATCGTGTGGGCGCTTGTCTATTTAGAAAGGAATAAATACTTAGACGGGGTGTGTATAGTCCCAAGGGTATCGAGATTGTTCTAAATGAAATTATGGAGTAAAATGTTTCCATCCGGAATGTCTAATTATAAAAGTAGATAGTTATCAGGTGTTCTAGATGAAATGACATAAAATGAGATTTAACACCCACGCCAATCTGATTAAAACACAGATCCTATTTCATTTCGTTTTTTATAGTTCAAAATTTCGTTTTACTTGTCTTTACTACACTAGGGTCTGTTCTGGATGATGTGAGGGATTAGCCAATGAAGCGGTCTGTTAAGGCGAGCTTTTGGCGTGAGGTGCACGGAACTGTGGGTTATCCACTTGATTGGTTATTGTTTAATCAAATGTCTGACGTCATATGTCAAAAGCCGCCCGTATGACCTTTGACACGACCACCCAAAACAATTGGTCAGATCTTCATGTAGTGTAGACCATCGAAAGTATATACAAAAAGAAAAAAAAACGAAACGAAATATAGATCTGTTTTTTTAAAATCAGATTCCACCTACGCGATTCCTACTGTTATTTCTATTCACAAATTTAACGTGCTGTATACGAGGTTTCTTCCCATCCGAACGACTAGACGTCTTTTCGTGTCAGACAAGGGGGGCAAGCGGATTGGGAACATTACGAGGAATTGACTTGGCCAACACCGGGATCGACCTCGGGGATTTCTGGTTAGTGAATCAGTGCCAAACTCAATGAGTCGACGGGGTTCCAAAAAAACATGCCCGGTAGGCCTCCATGACCCCCCCATAGCTGGTTTTTAAGTTTGAAGCCAAAATGGCAAAAGGTAGCCTCGGAGAAAAGAACAACCTACAGATAGAATTATGGACCGAATTGTATATTTAAAATTTAATTACTTACTTGCAACTTCGCGAGCAGAAAGTGGGAGGTATTACATACGTATGTACAAATCTTAAGCTGTCTTGTCTACAATTAGCTCCACTTTTGAAGAGACACTAAGCTAGTTAACCGACATTTAATTCTAAATCGTCCATTATAGTGGAAAACATCAAGTATAATTCTAGATTGTTGAGAAGTATTTATTCTGCTTCCACTTAATAAAATTGAAAAAGTTTATTGACAGATGCAGCCATTAAGATCAGAGGTCTATTCTCGAAGTAGATAGTTCTCTGTGTGCAGAATGAAAATATTATTGAAACGCGAAAAAATATTCCAAGCTCTGCTTCCGCATGTAAGTATTCCGTTAAATCATGTTTATGCCCCCCCCCCCCAAATAAAAACAACTTACTCGTGCTCAAATAGACACTATGGAAAATTTGAGACAGGTCTGTCAATCCGCTGTTCTGGTGGATACAGTTTATAGTGTGTACAAAAGGGCATTATATATCATACACAGCAATCGTCACAAGATTGACAAATAACATGTTCTTTTCGAAAGATTGGTTTGTGAAGGTTATCCGTACACCTCTCAGTTAATTAGCACTATTTGAAATATATGATGATAACCCTATATTCTACACAAAAGCATAACATCATTAGCATATCTGTTGGCTTAAAGATACATTATGGGACATTAGACAAAGAGCTGGAAGTTCTCAATATAATAGTTAAAAACTAGATAATGTAAAGGGAATTTGCTGAAAATTTCAGTCAAATTGATCTACTCTGAACCCTAGATTTTAGCGATTGGATTTTCGGCCTAGCTTCGATAATCATTACTAAAGTCGGTACGATAAAAAAAAACATATAATGATTAAATCCTGAATGGAAGTTGAACAGCAAATCAGAACCTAATCCAATAAACATCGCAGGCTAGCGATGACATCGAGGGTTGATTATGGTCTGGATAAGTTAATTAATATCTAATTAATAATTTAGATAACATTTCAGGCCTAAAAAAAGACCTGCAATAGTCAACTTTAGCTTTTTCATAATGTATGTTTAAAGGGAAACAATATTATCAAATTATTTGTTTATTAGAATAGTTTACTCACTTTCTCTTTAAATCGGCTCAGTGGTTGCCGAGAAAAAATGCTCTGATTTTATTTATTTGTCAGACAAACGACTATTTATCCTGATAATTACGATGTTGGTCATTTGGTAGAAAAATTGACACACCTAGTTAGAATCTGGTAGAATACCCCTTTGATAGTTCCATGAACGATAGACATGAAACTTGACATGCTTGTTTCTTGCAAAATTGCTTATCGACTGACAGGCTCGACTATTCCAATATGTCGTCGATGACGCCATGTTCGGCTCCTGGTTCATATACTGCTATCATACTTGTTTAATAGAAAACATGACAATATCACCATTTATATAACCATGTATATATGTATACACAATCCAATTAATAATCTGGTATTTAAGCAATTGAATTAGGAAGAAAGACCATTAGAAAAATATAATTACGGCCGTAACGTTTAAATTATATACTTTTGAAGTAAAACACCATATGCTACAAACTTATAATAGAGTGAAAAAAAGAATACATTTTCTTAATACTATTAACTATTCATACATCCTGGGAAATACTATGATCTGGAATCCGTCTTCACTACAGCCATAATGTCCGTGTTTTATTGAGGTGTTCAGGGAAGTGCGGATTGTAACGGACAGATAATTGAATCAATGACAACAATACATAGTCCAGACAAGATTTTATTACTTATTGTTCACATGGCAATGAAACTGGAAGGTGAAGAAGAAATTAACTTATACATCTTAATCATATAAATAATTGTCTGGAACACGTGAATGGCAATTTTCTAACAGAATTTTTGTCTTTGGCAATTATTTGTACTAGCAAAGCTGTCCGCAGTTCCCGCCACATGGATTATGAAGTTAAATTTCGCAAACCCTGTGCAAACTAATATCATGGACGTCGCTACCCTTTGGAAGCATACATTGAAGGTAATGGTTAACTGGATGACCGAGTATATTTTACGCGTAAAAAAGTGGTAGATGCTATATCGGCGTCCTCCCTTATTTTACGGAAAGGGGTCGGAGCTTATCATTGACCCTCAAGATATTAAGAAACATACCACGCCCTAAACCCCTTCTTAACCCAAGCTAACAGCTGCCAACCAATCTGTAATCATGAATATGAAAACCGACTGTGGAGGCCAACTGCCTCCCTATTAGTAGGGTTGGGGCAATAATGACTTTTTTCGAAATTTTTAAAACACGGGTGTTTTCTATGGCCAAATAGACTAAAAACAAAAACGAATCTGGTGAAATTTTTGTCGAATTTTACGTTGATAAAATGGCCGCCAAAATAGGGCCAAAATCACGACTTTCTTGGAAATCCATATTTATTTAGTATGAAATCGCCTTGTAAAATACCATTTCATATGTTTTAGGGGTCGGGGAGTTCAAATTTACTGAGAAAATTTACATCTGATAATCCAAGATGGCGGCCATTTTATTCCAAAATGGAGATATTAATACGATATACAATGCAACAGTGTAATATGTCTAATCTAATGTTTTCTTGATCACTGAGTTCAGATCGAGAGAGGAAATTTATTTTCGAACATCAACGGTGGAGGACATCCAAGATGGCGGTCATTACTCCCAAAATTGATACCTATACATGATTTACCACACAAAGCTAGCAGGAAGAAATTTTATATAACCTCAAATTCTCTACTAATCAAAATTAAATCGTGTGGTTAAACACACTGGTTTTGGATGTTTGCTAATCGGCGTTGTCTGGTGCGTTCCGATACGATCATCAGAAACGATGCACTCTGTTGCGATAGGATATGTCGTTCGAGATGGGAATCAGAAGTGATTACGATTTGAGGTACGATTGGTCCCCGACGTGTATATAAATAGCACACCTGACCATGGACTTCATTGTTT